CCCCCCAAAGAAAAAATTATCAAACCATGCCGTCGAAAAATCTGCTTCAACTTCGCACTCACGGCTCCACTCCCGTGTACCGGTACTTCCAGCTAAAAATCACCAGGCAGCTTCACGTCTTACACCATTCGACGTCACTTCCTGTCTCCTCCTGTACCTTTTATTCTAGTCCCAGTTACTGTTATAAACTAATTGAAATCATCTGTATTGTGTCAGCCATTGGAGAATTCCTCAGGGAGGCACAAGGGTCGCAGCTCAGTGTAAAGAGGGCACTGATTAAAGCACGCGTATATTTAGCAGTGCCAATCAATCGTCCGTTACTCAGGGTAATAATATTATGATTGCCATATCGTGATTTCTCTCGGATTGAAAAATCGATTATTGTCAATGCAGAGGTACATACACTTGTGATAGTAATTGGACGCAATCCCATTTTGTTAATTGACATTTTCCACCTAAGTGCTCTTGTTATATGCCTGGCGACTTAGAAATCTTTGCATAACAAGCTCACACACGGTACGGGGAGTGGAAGCTTTGGTCGAAAATACAAGGATTCCTTTTGCACATCAAGGTAAGTGACTATATAGCCCAAATGTATTGAAATGTTGTATTTTAATTTTTATTTATTTACCTATGCATGTTTAAATTCACCTACTAATTTATTCATTTACCTATTAATAGAGTGTACGTGAAATGTATCTTGTTTTTTTTTTTGTATTTTTATTTTCAGTGTAGGTTGATTAAATCTAGACACACAACGTACGTAAATTATAGACTGATAACTGTATTTATCCTTTTAACCCGGTGCCAACCAAGAAAAATAAAAAATCAAAGCAGTGCAATATGCAGAAAAAATGTAGTGTAATATTTACACTTCATTTCAAGGTGAAAAGGAACAAATGAAATTGATAACCGAGAGATCGAATAATGTCCCCCACCATTCATTTACTATTTTTGTAATCAATATTAATTCACATACAGTGTTAACATAATCTATTTGTTCATGAGCTCTTTTGTTAACTTATTTTTGAATTTATGAATTAAATTAACTAATTAATCCAGTCAGTCACCGATGTAATCATTTACATGTATTTATTCATTCACTGTTTTGTTTTTCCTATTTACATCAATTTAAATGAAGGAACTCGTTACCTATAGTTTATTAGGTTATCTAATCGCAAGTTTTTATTAAATTACAGAAATACACAAGAAGCATGGCCAGTGTGCTAAAGATTTCCTTGGCACTGTTGCTTCCCTTGGTGGCACACGCCAACATCGAGTATGCAACAACTCACGAGATGGAAGAGTTTGCTAAGTTTACAGAGCCAGTGGATCTGGCCGGCTTTACCAATGACAGCTGCTCTGCGTCCGGCACTGAAGATAACGTCGTTTGTCAGGTAAGAGTTGAGACTCGCAATTGCAGCGCTATGTATAGCTTTTGACAATAAATTTCACATTATCATCTGCAAAAAAAGTTTTAGACCTGTCTAATTACATTAATTTATCGTATATATTGATTACTTCCACCGTTGGCAATTTAAATATTTCATTACTACCTATAAGCTTCTCCGTCAAAACAGCATTTTTTTCTTGTGCAATTGTTAAGATATTGAAATCCTATCTTTTAATTAACTTTTTTTGTGGTTGGTTTTTATTCGCTCGATAGTAATTAGAGTAGTTTGTATGAATATCTGAATTAACTTAAAATAAGCATATATACCCAAGATCCTGACGTTAACAGGTTTTGAAAATTTTCTCTTTATACATATATATATTTCTTTCACCGTTGGCGACTTAAACATTTCGTTACCAGGTAAGCTTTTAAAAACAAAACAGCATGTTTTTCACTTGTGCTTTTGTTTAATATTGAATTCCGATATTTTTATCAGCTGCAGTTTTTGTCGTTTACCTTGTTTGTTTAATACGCTCGATAGTAATTTAGTAGTTTGTCTGAATATCAAATTAAACCAAAGAGAACCGTGGATGCCTGATGGCATGGTGTCGACAGTTCAAAGAGGAAAATTGTATGATAAATCTATAGTTCACCTCGAGCTGTAAAGCTTCCTGAAACAAAAGAAAAAAGTTTGCAATTGGTGTTTATTGATCTACTAGCTGTTTCTACCTTTATTCTTTTAATTGATTATTGGGTATTATAAGGTTATTGAATCAATAATTCCATCTTTCTCCTTTTAATTGATTAATAGGTAAATTTAGATTATTGATCTTATGTTTCCACCGTTCTTCGTTTCACTGCTTATAAGGTATTCTTACATTGTTTGACGTGCCTTCATCCGGAGACGAAGGTAGAGAGATTTTATAGAATCGGCTGCCTATTAGCCCATTAGAACTGAAGCTACATGTAGTACTGATATCTAGAAAAGACACCAAAACAATTTTACTTTAATAGTATTTCAACTAATATTACATTTCACTTTCATCATGAAAGTCAGATTAATTATAGTCTTATAATGCATATCTTAATATTCGGTTTAGATTTACTCCATAAATTGTGGTCTTAATCTTTTATTCAGTTTTTTTCCACTAAGATCTAAATTATTTTTTACTTATAATGCAACGGTGCTGAAACACATACATGCATATAAATACAAGCAGCATAATGAGGGCTGTTCTGAGGCAACCAAGAGACAAGAGATAACTCGTCTTTTTAAAAAAGTAATTGAGCCGTCTGATATCATTGTTTGTTTTTTTAAACTTGAAATGCATCGTAGTCTATTTGCCCAACGTAGAATATTCGTAAGTGGAACTTTGAATCATTGTCGTTATTTCAACTCATCATCTACTTCACATCTAATAAATCTCACCTTTTTCACGTGAAGCTTTCTTCATATTCAGGGGAGTCATTCAGCAACATATACACTGCTAATCACCCCATGTTGGTCAAAATCTAAGGCCATCCGCCTCCCTCACCGACCTCGTTATCTCACTGTCTGTCTGTCCATCCGTCCGTCCGTCTGTCTGTGTGTCTGTCTGTTTGTCCGTGTGGCTTTAAACAGTTTTGGTGAATGTAACTAAAAGCTTACACATTTACACGTGGTCTTTTACTTAATTTTTTTGTATTCCCAGATGAATTCGACAAGCTTTGGTAACTGTCAACGTCAGTGTCACCGCAATGTCCACAGATGTCAAACAGCCAAGTACTCTGCCAACAGCAACAAATGTACAGTCTACCTGGACAATACCACACGTAGGTACCGATAGACTTATAAAAACAAGAGAAGAGATGATGAAGTGATAGATTTAAAAAAAAAGTGTCAGTCATCCAGCTGATGTAAAACCCCCTTTACACTGGACGGCGTCCTTTCTGCGTCCTTTGTGCGAACATGAAACTGGCCAGGACGCCGTTGGACGCTCAAAGAACGCACAGTGATCGCCAAGGTTGCACAAAGAACGTTCAAGCATCGCCGAGGACGCCATGGACGCAGCGAAGTTTTGAGCATGTTCAAAACAACCGTAGAGAGAACGCGATGGAGGATGGTCGCTCAATGGACGCAGAAAGGACGCAAAAGCATCGCCGTGGTCGCAGAGAGGAGGCACAAGCATCGCTTTGGTTGCAGAATGAAAACTCAAAGATCGTCCAGTGTTCGGCACGTAGAACATTATTTTTTTCACTCTCAAACGGGGCCGTGCTGAGGTATTTTTCACCAGACAGGAATTCTAAGGGCAACAGTTGTCTTATATCAGCCTCCGATTGTTTTTCCCCTAAAATTCAAGAAACGATCAATTTTTTTGAGGTTATTATAAAACGAATATTTTGCCTTTTTTACACGATGCATTAATTGTCAGAACTTTTTGCAGAACGCGTCATTTGAAAACGGATTCAAATATTCTATGTTGTGTCAGTCACACTTTCTCGTTTCGGCGCCTGTCCATCCTTCTTATAAGGATAACAATGAGCATCTGGCTGATTGTCAGTCCATGCAGATCTTGCATCACTATAGTTTAAAGCGTTTATTACCATTTATTTGTTTTGTGTGCTGGAAATGTGCTTAATTGGAAGGCCTGGTTAGAACCGATGAAAAAATATGAGTTAGAATATATAGAGATGAACGCCCAAACAACGCTCATCGGTCAAGCAGGATGCAGAATGATCGTAAAATAGACGCCACTGATCGCCGATGAAGGTACAGAGAACGCAGCAAGAATGGTCAAAGGTCGCTCAAACATCGCAATGGACGCCTTGGTTTGCACAGGGGACGTACAGTGGAGGCAGGCAGGTTGCTCGCAGTTTTACAGGTAAAATCAAGATTCGGTCGTTCAAAGGACGCACAAGGGACGCAGACGCCTTTACACCGAGACACGATTTAATTTCTTTGGCGACCGTTGAGCGTCCTGACCACATTTTTGAACGCAGAAGGGACGCAGAAAGGACGCCGTCCAGTGTAAAGGGGCCCTAAATAAATATATTGCATCTTCTTACAGTGCATAAGTGAATTTGCAAATACATGTAGTTTGAATTAAAAAAAGTGCTAAAAAGCAGTGGAGACAAAATACATGTATATCGAATAAATTTCTGTTATGTAAATCTTTGCGGTCAAGTCCGCTGGTCAGTCTGACCTACTGTCGGAGAGTAACCGCCTCGGTTATTATAGGATGCCTAATTAACTGACCCCACTGACCAAGTTATGACTTTGGCGATCTCAAGAACTCCCTCTTTAGTCAGAATTGATCTCCACACCTTTGTTGTTTGTTTTCACTTCCACTTGGCTATACCTGAAATAATCGCATTACGACACATTTATAAGTTTGTGTAGATATCTTCCAAATGTATGATATGTATGATTACGAAATCATATATTATTATTATTATTATATCTTAGGAGGCTGCGATAACTTGGGGGTCACCAATCTAAGGCAGTACACTCGCAGATATGCAGATGGCAGATCAAGCGGGGAAAGCTGGGTGAGTGAAAGCGGTGTTCAATCAGATACATGTACAGACAACAGATAAATACCGATTTTCGATGTGAATTTGACCCCCGCCTCCCCCTCCCCCCCAACAATATAGTAGTAAGGCACACATAGAGAGTAAAGATCAATGCCCATTACTAATTGATCGGTCAATCGATGATCACTGCAATCTAACTGATTATACGTCAGCTATTTTCGACCTTACGACATTGATTTACCAAAATCCGTCCATTAATTTTCGAGTTAGCTTAGTAACTAATAAACCAACAAAGTCAAAAAAACTTTGTCAGGTCATTTTATGCCACTCACTAGCGCGCACGTGTGCTGAACAAAAAGCTCAGAATGAGTTTTTCTTTTCACTCGAAATAAAAATAAAAGATAAACCAAGGTTGTGTGAGTGAACACACAAACACACACGCGCGAGCGCGCACGCACACGTACGTATATCTATCTAAAAAGCCCATGGTCCTCCAATCTAAATTCGTTGCCAACGAAGTCATTAAAAGCTTCCGTACGTGCTTTTTAAATAACACGTTTTCTTTACAAATCAAGAGATTCATAATTTTGATTATAAATAATAAAATTGATAAAATACGTTACAATGGATATCAATCGCTAGCTAAGTTTTATAGGTAGGCTATAGGTATATACCGCCTCAATTTCTTCCTCTTTGTCTTTCAGGGGGTCACATACACAAAGCTATACGACTTTACCGGACTCCGTGTGCGATTTGCAGGCAACTTGCGGGTTAGTTCGGGCGTTAACAATCATGCAGCCCGATTTTACGTTAAGTTCAACGGGCAAGAATGCTCAAACCCGGCTACCATTGAATACGTTGGCAAAAACGACGGCAACCGCAGGGATGAACTGAAACATGATGAATGTAAGTACAATTGCTCTATTAGTACAGCAAATTGTTGGTTCCTTCATTACACACACAGAAACGGGAAAAAAACGTTACTGTATAGAGTAGCTGTCACTACTGGCTTTTGTATTAAAAGCTGAAATGTGTGAAGAATAACATAAAATATGCCATGCCTAAATAAATAGATGAGTAAATGAGTAACTAAATACATGAAAAAACAGATATGTAATTGAAATGAGATAAACCATTGTCACCATCGGAAAAGATATGAATATTCACTGCATGATTATCAACCATTCTAGTTGAAGGGATCTGCGAGGGTTTGGCGGCCGGAAGTATAAACATTGGAATATACACAGGAAACGTACCGGGTTATAGTGTTAGCGGTGCGCACATTGGTTGGGACACAGCCAATAGGATTTTAGTGGAGGAGGTCGACACAAGACCCGTCCAAGGTAATTTTAATCTTATTAATTCTTAGGATTTTATCTCGCCCTCTTTTTGTAAGGTCTTTTGGGACACTTCATCTGGCATAATTATTAAACATGCGTGTATGGCTATGTTAATGCAAGTACACCATTTCCCAAATCCTACCGAGACATGTATGTCCTACTATAAGCAAAACAGAAACAATTTTTCTGATAACAATGAACTTAATGTAGCACATTGTTTACTGGGTAGAGCTTAAATATAGATTTCTGTTAAGTTAGAAGTGATATATTTCTGTAAAAGAGGTTTGCGTAATCATTTTAGCTCCCTGCGCACTTCTAAGTCTGTACAACGTCAAACAATACGTGTTCCCGAGTTTCACGCATGAGCAGGATAATGGCGTTATTCCTGGATTGGTAAGTGCCCCCCTCTCTCTCTCTCTCTCTTACATACACACATTTCCATTACCCATTTTCAAGGCATCAACAAACACACCCTTCAGAGCATACAAAAATTAAGAATATTCGTCGTTTTTTATGATACCCACAGACAGACGCGCGCTCATGTACATCACTACAAAGGCACCAGCAAAGACACGCTCAAAAACATACGACTCGACAAAATTATTTTTTTAGTACACGTGTACTCAAAGACACGTTTGGAGTCAATCTCACATCTTCTTCATTCTACGCTGTCGCCATTGGCTGTGAACTACAAATTAACATTACCAAACTGTTACATCTATTTCAACAAATATTAAAATCAATTTAACTTTTCTAGGATGTTTCCTACGAGAAAGTCGCCTCAGACAGCGCACTCCGGGTAAAGTGGTTTGGGGTACTGAGAGGCTATCAGGGAAATTATTGCCGCCGGTGGTTCTTTACTTTCAATGGAGTGGAGTGCACCTCTCCCTTCCCACTCGATGGTGCAGTGGGGTTCCTGCACGGTAACGACGCGTCCCCACAGTATATGTTTCGAACAAGTAAGTTTAAATGGGCAAGCTCTGTAATGCCTGAAACTAAAATAGTCGCTGCCTATAAGGGCGATAACATGAACGATAATTGATATTATAAGATGAAAATTAATAAAATAATAACATGTATTCCGATTTTCAAAAAAAAAAAAAAAAAAAATTAAGTTCGTTTTGTGAGACCGGTCCCTTTGACTCCACTATATTTCAATATATAAATATTTTTAAAAAATGTGTATTTCAGTTGAAGGTATATGCGAGGGTTTGGGGAAAGGACCGTACACTATTCAGTTCAATGTTGGAGCCTGTCCTACCAGCTCCTTCTCACACCATAATGCGTACACTGGGTTTTCTAACACTGTTTCCCGCATCATAGTGGAAGAAGTCCGATTAGGAAGAGGGGAAAATCAAGGTTTGTAAATGTATTACAGTTGTTAATACTTGTATTTGTATAATAACATTGCAGACGATCTATCCAATCATATAAATGTTCTTAAGGTAGGACTGCAAGTTGGAGATTTTAGCTTTTAAGATTATTTCTTTTATTTGAACTCACATAATTGAAAACATCCAACTTTTTGGTTGCTTTAATTTTTAAAAAACTTATTTTGTTATGATAGATATATAATTTTAATTGCTTTCAATAATACAGCAATGATATATCGCTTGAATATGCGTCATACTCCCGCTGGTTTCAGGGCTTGATAATTTTCCAATGGTATTTTATTTGTTAGAGCTGATTTAGTCACAACAGTAATTATGCAGCTTGTCAAAAATAGTATTATCATATATAAAAAAGACGCATGACAATCACAATGTTTCCGTATATTACAGTGATACTGAACGAAGGGTATAAGCTGACCAACTCTGTGTTTAACGTACATCATTGGAACTGGTATGCCGTGGACAGCACCGACAACAACGCAGAAATTAAGGTGCGTTTCTGTTTGTTTATTTTTGCTTCGCATCTCAATGGAATTCGTGTACTTCGAAGCATGTTGTTTATTTAAGAAGTTTATAGTTTTCATCTCATAGGCATGGTATATATATAAACATAGAGCTTTTTTTCCTTTTAAAGTTAAACCCTCATTTTGTATTCGGTTATTGTCGGGTTTATACATATATGCGTCATATTTGTCTGAATGTGCAGCATTCTATGATTTATTTTAGAATTATTTCTTGTTTCTCGTTTCTCGGAGAAGACTACACAACTGTGGGATCGAAACCAGCGGTATCTGAAGTGAAAATAATAAAATCCTTTGAAATTTTTTCAGAGGTTCAACTACATCAAGATGAGTAGCAGTACCATCCTTCGCGTAACCTTTAACGGCGTGATTCGACCTGCAACGTGAGTAATAAGTATACACGTGCATTTTGAAATAAATTCAAATCCAGTGTCTGAGTGGGGGTGGGGGTGGGACAATAGCTCCTATATCAGATATTTTTAAAAGAATAAATATTTGAAATATGCATGTGGTATTTTAGCCTTTACCCTTTTTCCAGCCCAGTAGATTTTAGTCTTCACTCAGCGTCAAAATTAGTACCATACCACATTTGGAGCAGATTACATTCCTGCACAAGACAAGAAATGAGAATTGAACTTTCTGGGGACTTAGAGTCAATAGAATCCATACTCCCTCATCCTCCAAAATCTGTCTGTAGCGTTTTTCCCACTATAAGCTAAACCCTAATTTGGGGGGAAATGCCTGTAGCCAGCACCCAAGGCATTTTTCCCAACATGCTGATACAGATTATTATTCATTATTATTATTCATTATTCTCGTCTGTGTATCATTTCATTAGTAATATCAGAAGAACATGCATATATCGCAGAATATGCTTCTAGGCTCTTGGATACATGTATAAAGAAAGGAGGAGCTGATTATTAAAAACCCAATCCGCCAACCATCTCCCAGTTTTTACAAAAAGTATTTACAAAAAGACTTAAAAGTGAGTGCATGCAAGCACCTGTTGTCCTCAGCTTGTGTCTCCTCTCCTCCTTTGGAAGGATGTGGGTAATCATGCATTCACCATTTTGTCCTATCAATATGGTCCATAATCGTACGATTGTGACCCATCTCTAGTATTCATTATAAATGGCAGCAGAATTAATGGCGATATGTTAAGTCAAAATATTAATTTTCGTTTTACTTTCGTTTTTTTTTTTTTTCGTTTACCAGTAATTTACGTTTTTTTTTTCTATAGGTCTCGCGGGCACTGTGCACGGTGGTTCTTCAAGTTTAACAATAACTTGTGCTCCAACCCTGCCACAATTGAAGGAGAGTGGTACGAAAACAGCAGCGATTATGCTGAATTGGACAAAAGGGTCCCGACATCAGGTAAATGACTGCATGTAGAGAATGCGGTAAATGGACTTGCGCAAAACAAGCACCGGAAGTTTAAAAAGAACTTGTGCTCCAACCATCTTCCGTGGGTTGTCGTACTTATTTATCTATTTACAAGTATTTATTGTTGGTGTTTTTGTATATGGTACGTTGTGTGCCTAAATGTCTATGCAATCCACATTTACGTTCAAGTCCAAAAATGGAAAATTTTATACTATATCGCTATTAGATTTCATGAATGTTTTATTTCTTACAGTAAGCGGAATGTGCAAGGGCCTGAACGCAGGAAGCGTGCTGGTCACATTCAGCATTGGTCAATGTAATTCTGGCCACGGGCTTCACAGCACCTATACCGGCTGGATGACCAGGATGACCATCATAGTGGAGGAAGTTCACGCCGAAGCTTAAGTAGCTTAGGATTTGCTGAACACTTACTGACCAACATTTTGAGTCTTTATAAACACTTATATACTTATGGTAACTTATAGTAACTGGCTCGCGCTGCCAGTAATTACGCTGCGGGATATTCAGTGCACAGACCGTGATCTAATGACATACCGCGAATAGAAGATAGNGACATTGCATGTGAACGAAGCCTTTATGCCTGTACTCCTACCACACGTTTAAACACATGATGTAAGCTAATTAAATGACCACCATTAAGGGTCTGGATGTTCTCCTTTTTATTGAATGTGTATAGTGTGCGCTGGCGTTAATAGTATATGTGACAGATGTGTAATGATAATGCCTTAAACTACTAAAACTTATATGTCGTGCATATTTATCTTGAAATGTTAGCGTACATTTTGCTGTAAATACTGTGCCGCAGGGAGCGTCAGATGGCGACTTTCAAAATTAAAGCCTAGATTACATTTGCCTAAAGATGTCCTTGCACTCCTCCTGTAATGTTTCTTTTTCGTGCGGGGTCCGGCGGAGGCAGGTTGTGGTCATGCAAGTCCGTACAGATTCGCGGCCCCCGCATATGATTTTGTCAAGCTTAAGCTTTTGGCTAATTTTGAAAACCGTTAGTCTGTAGGGCGTAGCGTTATCGTAGATGGCATTGCACAGTTCCCTCATTGTTTGGTGGACTTGCGGTGATCGTGATAATGGCTGAACCTGTTGTTGATCGCTTTCCCTTCCACCTTTGGTGATTTTAGGAGGCATAATAATAGTAAAGATGTTTTAAAAGTAGTGTAATTCAATTGCATGAATTCGAAGTTGTTTGTTTTCTTATTCAAAGAAGTGTACGTACCTGCACCAACAGCTTATCGATCTGCACGGAAGGCGTACAGTAACTCCACTGACACTGCATACTTACGGTGTCATAAAAAAAGGAACAGAAAATCGTTAACCAAACCATCGTGCGGCGCCCGTCGCAAATGTAGTCTAGGCTTTAGTTAATATAAATTTTCTTTTTTTTTCATTAGTTCCATATGTTTCACTATGAGTGAGACCTTTATTTTGTTTGAATATTTAGTTTTTGTGCCTTAATTATGTGATTTTCATATCTTAAAAAGTTTTTATCCCTACATGAACAGGGCATGACCTTTATTAAATTTAGCAAAGTGTGTAATGCACTGAAACAGACAAATGTTGTTTCCTTATTTGAAAATAAAGTTTTCAGCTCTAACTTGGTTAATTCTTATATGGTTTAAAACATCCAAAAATACCAAGGCAAAGGTATCGACGGTAGGCTCGTAGAATAAATTCCAACACACTAAAAACATTGCGTATTTGATTCTTACGGAAATATAATTATCTCTCCGCTCTCTGCCCGTTTCCGTAAAACATTTGCGGCTTTACAAGGGCAGAGACAAAGGCCTAAATATGTTATACTAAAATCAATCGTTTCATTACATATTTCCAATAAAGGGAAAGAAAAAAAAAGTAAGACCCAAGTTGTTGGCACTTCTGTTCAGCTCTGTGCACCTTGTCTTAAGACGTTCTTTTTCTTTTCATTTTTTCTTTTATTTATTTATTTATTTATTTATTTATTTATTATTTTTTTGAGACATTATAGTATTACGTGCTTCACTGTCCTTCCAGGCGACAATCCCTGAGATGTGTATTAAACAGGAATATTAAAAATATCGTGCTGTCGTTTTTTAGCTGTGAGCAACACTCAATGAGACAGATATATAATGTGGCTACATGTATAGTTACTCTCACAGTAAATCTCTTACGCTAGCACCCCACCTAAGTTACTAAGTTTATAAAGCGCGGAGATTTTGAAAGAAAGTGAACTAGCCAGTGCTACGTCGTAATTTCCTGTATAGTTAAGCATAATTTTCTGTTTCACTGTAGTAAATATGATACAGTAGTTCATTTAGCATAATTACGAAGGGTGGTACTAGATTATCGATTGTTTTCTGAAAGTTACGCTGTGAAATGTTAAAAAAGAAGTAGAAATTCAGCATATTCTTCTTCATCTCTACTACAAATATGCTTTACACTTGGGTGAAATGCTACTGAGCGGTCATAGTGCATTTTCGTGATGTGATTAAACTGCCTAAATTGCCATCGTTGTGACGAGGGAAGTATTTATCTGCATTCACACATCAATGCAGATATCAAGTTCCATTATTGCCCGGAAGAGAGTGACACACATGAAGCCTGTGAGACTGTTCTCAGGATCTTTTTTGTTTCCACCTTTCACTTTGGGATTGGGTCGATGAGGGTTAATGCATAGGTACAAACTCTCAAACAAAAAATGGATACCATTCCTTGTTTATAGATTGACATTTTCCGCCTTAGTGCTCTTATTATACGACTGGCAACTTGGAAATCCTTTCATAACAGCAGCGGACACGGCCCAGGAGGGAGAAGCGTTTGGTTGAAAAAAGGGTTGCTTTTGTATTTCAAGGTAAGTAACTGTTCAATGGTACTAGTAGTGTATATGCAAGAATTATCACTTTTCAAATAATAAACGAATCAAATGAGTGGTGGTAAACATTAGTTGAAAATGCTTTTGGTGCGCAATTCGCTTCCATCAACATACAATTACTCGGTTATCAGTTGTTTTCTGAATGCTTAAATTGTAAGTATTACATTTTAGGTTTTCCGAAATATATATATATACTCTACTGTTTTCATTTTTGCCTGGTTAAGGAGATGAAGTAACTGAAATACTGTGATTTACGAACGTTATGTTTTTTTGTTAATAGTCCGACACCGCAAACATATTTTTTCAATCAGTGACTTTTACATATAGGTACCAGCACTAACATATTAAAATACTCGTTTACTCATTAGTTGACTTGTTTTTTGTATTTTCGAATTTACAGATTTTTCATGAAAATAATCATTTGTTTTTTGCTCTATCTATTTCTTCCTTTATAAATCTATCTACATGTACACTGTATTTATCCTCCCATTTATCAATCCATTTATTCATGCAAGTGCAGATAGTGAAAAAATGTTTAATTTAGTTTATATAGCCATTTATCCATTTTTGATTTCTTTATATTATTATAGAATATAACATGGACAGTGTGCTTAAGATTTCCTTGGCACTGTTGCTTCCCTTAGTGACACACGCCAACATCGAGTATGCAACAACTCACGAGATGGAAGAGTTTGCTAAGTTCATAGGACCAGTGGATCTGGCCGGCTTTAACAATGACAGCTGCTCTGCCTCCAATATTGAAGATAACGTCATTTGTCAGGTAAGATTTTTAGCTCTGTGGGATGGCTTTTGACTGATTTGAAATAACCAGCTTCAAAAAAACTTTTATATAAATATTGATTACTTTCACCACCTGAGGCAAGTTAAATATTCCATTACCACTAAGCTTTTTCGTCAATACAACATGTTTTCTATGGTGCAATTGTTAAGATATTGAATACCTATCCTTGGTCAACCTCTGTTGTTGGTTCTGTATTCGCTTTGTAGCAATTAGTGTAGTATATCTGATTATCGAAATTAAATAATAGAAGCATGGTTCCCCTTGTCCTGATGTCGGCAGTTCACTTACGTAAATCAGAGGATACATCAATAGTTCGTCTGGAGCTGAAAAGCTGACTGTAAACCTAGGACATATTTAACAAACTGCAATTGACAATTATTATCTACTGTTTCCAGTTTTTTACTTTGAATTGGTCATCAGGTATTTGTTAGATTGTTAGACGTGCTTCCATCAAGCGGCGAAGGTTGAGTGATTTTATGGGGTCAGATGCCTCAAAACGTGAGAACTGAATCTGGCACTGATGCGGTTTAAATTATCTCAAAACATTTTTTTAAGAGCATATTCCAACTGATTTTACATTTTACTTTCATTTCAAAGTCAGCTTCATAGTCTTATAATGTATATCTCACCTTGTATATATCTAAAATGTATATTTTTTCATCATAAATTTAAGCTTGTCTGTCATTCCGATATTTTTACGAAGATCTTGAATTGTACAGTAACGTCGTAAGTTCCTTCCGAAATGCAGTATTTTAGTACTAAATTATAAAACTAAAATGGAAAAAGACATCAAATCCAAGTACAGGTAGGGAGTGGTAGAGCAAAGATTCGTGAGTTATGGAAATTGTTTCTTTCCGAGAGAAATTTATTTTGACGGTTATATCCCGTACAAAAACAATCTAATCAACAGTTTTTATAGTGACGTCACAGTTCTGTGGTCATTGATCGAACAAGCCGAGCTGGCCATTTAGTCATTTTTTTTTTTTTTTTGTAAATTGAGTCAGCTTCTTGTATCACTGATGTAACCTCAACTATTCTATATTCTATTTAACCAATGCAGAAAACCAATGAAGAAAATTTGGAAGGGGAAGTTCACACTTTGTATCAAAGTCCATTGTCCATATTTCAAATAGGCGCGTATTTTAAAGCTTTCTACTGTCGAATTTTACTACCTTTGTACAATAGTCTCATTCATCGACATTCGCTCTATGTGTCCTTCTGTTGGACAAAAAATACGAGACCATAAATTGACCATAAATTGTCTCTTTGTCTGTTTGGTTGACTGATTTTAAGCAGTTTTGGTCAATGCATCTTATTACTTACAAATATACAATACGTTTTATTACTTAATTCCTTATCTTACCAGGTGAATTCGACAAGCTTTGGTAACTGCCAGCGTCAGTGTCTCCGCAATGCCTACAGATGTCAAACTGCACAGTACTCGGCCAACAGCAACAAGTGCACTGTCTACTTGGACAATACAACGCGTAGGTAGACGCTTGCTTGTAGAAGTGGTAAATCTTGAAAATTAACATTCACCTGTAAATATTCCTTACTATTGCATGATATATATTATTAAGAGGGTAGTTCATTTTATTATTATTATTATTATTATTATTATTATTATTATTATTATTATATCTTAGGAGGCTGTGATAACTTGGGGGTCACCAATCTCAGGCAGTATTCCAGGAGCGGCTGGTCAGACTCTTGATCTAGCGGGGAAACCTGGGTGAGTTACAGAAGGTGGTTCTTATATGTTCTAACCGAAGTATTTCGATTTAAAATGTGAATGTTTGCTTCATGAATCATGCGATTCATATTTTTGATTATAAATCAGTAAAATGATAAAATGTATGTAATGGTTATCAATCACAAAACTTTATCTTTTATTGGTATGAAAAGCGGGACCCTTTGACTTTAGGCACTAGCTCCCGTTTAAGATCCTTGCTCAAAAGCACGTAGAAGCTTCAACGGTTGCCTTCTTTCAGGGGGTCACATACACCAAGCTATACGACTTTACCGGACTCCGTGTGCGATTTGCCGGGAATTTGAGGGTTAGTGCGAACGTTAACAATTACGCAGCACGATTTTACTTTAAGTTCAACGGGCAAGAATGCTCAAATCCTGCCACCATTGAATACGTTGGCAAAAACACAGGCAACCAGAGAAACCAAAGGAAACATGATGAATGTAAGTACACTTGTCCTATTATCGCTGTTATAGTTATAATGTTATTTTGACACAGGCTGAGAGCAACGTCGCTGAAGCGCTGCTGGGATTTGTTTGAAGCAAAGTCAAAATATCCCAGATGTGTGGAGAATGACTATATACGAAAGTCAAGCCACACCCTTAGTTTAAGGTATATATTACAATATAAAATTAAGATAATCTCAGCTAGAATCAGTGTGAAAAAGTTTTCTTAAGGATCTTTGAGCCTGGTCACTTTGTTTCAGTTAAGTAAAATATATAAATGAATGAATAAATATATAGATGAATTAGATAAAATTTTCACCATCGGAAAACAACCCGACCTTTTTACTGTTTGCCGACAATTTTTTCACATTCTAGTTGAAGGTATCTGCGAGGGTTTGGCGGCCGGAAGTATAAACATTGCCATGTTTACGGGCAGTGTACCGGGTCATAGTGTTAGCGGTGCAAAAATAGGCTGGGACACAGCCAATAGGATTTTAGTGGAGGAAGTGGACACCAGACCCGTCCAAGGTACACTCTTGCCCAAAATGGTTGGTACACGGAAATTTTGGGATGCATATCGCCCTGTTTCTTTCATTATTATTGATAGTACCAAATTAAAACTGTTTATATTGTTAAATATGTGAAGCTGGAGGATTGGTTAAGTCAAGGAGAGACAACTAATGCAAATGTGAAAAAAAGCGTTAATTTATTTAGGTTTTTTTTTCTCATGCCCACAAAAAGAGTACTTTTTTACATAACAGTACCAAGTGAAAAATTAAACATAAATTTATACTGTGATTGACAATTAATATGAAATTAGGGGAAATTGTCAAGAGACATCTTCAGAGTTCATTATTAATCTCAATAGCGGGTATGCCCACTCCGAGCTTGGATAATGGCCGCCAAACGGCGTGGCATACTGTGAACTAGAGTAACAGCTCTTTGGAGGGGAATTCTGGTCCATTCATATTAAAGGGCATCTCGCTATTCATCTAGATTTGCAGGGGGAGGGTTTCTCCTCTGAACAGCACGACCAAGTTTGTCCCACATGTGCTCAATTGGGTTTGCATCTGGGCTTCTTGCTGGCTGTGGCATCAGCTGAATGTTGTTTTGTCGGATAAAGTCTGCAATTAAGCGGGCTGTGTGTTGAGTTGCATTGTCAGGTAGCAATCTAAAATTGTCTCTGTATATCCCTCTTGCGAATGGCTCCAGGTTCTCCTGGAGAATGTCTCTGTATCTGGCAGCGTTAAGGTTTTCATCCAGAGGAACCAATGGGCAAATGCCATTGCTGCAAATGGCACCCCAAAACTTGTACAGAACCACCTCCTCCAGCTACGAGAGTGCGTAGGCTCCCTGGGGGGAGGCTGTTAACTGAAAATATCCAGGAAACAATAGCTGGAAGAGGTGGTTCTGTACATGTTTNTGATCGAACAAGCCGAGCTGGCCATTTAGTCATTTTTTTTTTTTTTTTGTAAATTGAGTCAGCTTCTTGTATCACTGATGTAACCTCAACTATTCTATATTCTATTTAACCAATGCAGAAAACCAATGAAGAAAATTTGGAAGGGGAAGTTCACACTTTGTATCAAAGTCCATTGTCCATATTTCAAATAGGCGCGTATTTTAAAGCTTTCTACTGTCGGATTTTACTACCTTTGTACAATAGTCTCATTCATCGACATTCGCTCTATGTGTCCTTCTGTTGGACCAAAAATACGAGACCATAAATTGACCATAAATTGTCTCTTTGTCTGTTTGGTTGACTGATTTTAAGCAGTTTTGGTCAATGCATCTTATTACTTACAAATATACAATAGGTTTTATTACTTAATTCCTTATCTTACCAGGTGAATTCGACAAGCTTTGGTAACTGCCAGCGTCAGTGTCTCCGCAATGCCTACAGATGTCAAACTGCACAGTACTCGGCCAACAGCAACAAGTGCACTGTCTACTTGGACAATACAACGCGTAGGTAGACGCTTGCTTGTAGAAGTGGTAAATCTTGAAAATTAACATTCACCTGTAAATATTCCTTACTATTGCATGATATATATTATTAAGAGGGTAGTTCATTTTATTATTATTATTATTATATCTTAGGAGGCTGTGATAACTTGGGGGTCACCAATCTCAGGCAGTATTCCAGGAGCGGCTGGTCAGACTCTAGATCTAGCGGGGAAACCTGGGTGAGTTACAGAAGGTGGTTCTTATATGTTCTAACCGAAGTATTTCGATTTAAAATGTGAATGTTTGCTTCATGAATCATGCGATTCATATTTTTGATTATAAATGAGTAAAATGATAAAATGTATGTAATGGTTATCAATCACAAAACTTTATCTTTTATTGGTATGAAAAGCGGGACCCTTTGACTTTAGGCACTAGCTCCCGTTTAAGATCCTTGCTCAAAAGCACGTAGAAGCTTCAACGGTATCCTTCTTTCAGGGGGTCACATACACCAAGCTATACGACTTTACCGGACTCCGTGTGCGATTTGCCGGGAATTTGAGGGTTAGTGCGAACGTTAACAATTACGCAGCACGATTTTACTTTAAGTTCAACGGGCAAGAATGCTCAAATCCTGCCACCATTGAATACGTCGGCAAAAACACAGGCAACCAGAGAAACCAAAGGAAACATGATGAATGTAAGTACACTTGTCCTATTATCGCTGTTATAGTTATAATGTTATTTTGACACAGGCTGAGAGCAACGTCGCTGAAGCGCTGCTGGGATTTGTTTGAAGCAAAGTCAAAATATCCCAGATGTGTGGAGAATGACTATATACGAAAGTCAAGCCACACCCTTAGTTTTAGGTATATATTACAATATAAAATTAAGATAATCTCAGCTAGAATCAGTGTGAAAAAGTTTTCTTAAGGATCTTTGAGCCTGGTCACTTTGTTTCAGTTAAGTAAAATATATAAATGAATGAATAAATATATAGATGAATTAGATAAAATTTTCACCATCGGAAAACAACCCGACCTTTTTACTGTTTGCCGACAATTTTTTCACATTCTAGTTGAAGGTATCTGCGAGGGTTTGGCGGCCGGAAGTATAAACATTGCCATGTTTACGGGCAGTGTACCGGGTCATAGTGTTAGCGGTGCAAAAATAGGCTGGGACACAGCCAATAGGATTTTAGTGGAGGAAGTGGACACCAGACCCGTCCAAGGTATATCAGTCTTTTTAATTCTTTCTCGCTGGAAGTTCATCCAATACACTTCATCCGGCCTGCACTTGGTGATGTTTTATATTAGTACTTCTTACCAAACTTACTGGTATGCGTATGCCATTCTAAGCAAAGAACAGTTAGTTTTCTCATAACGATGAGCTTTATATAGTACAATTTTTACTTGATATAGTTTAGACATTTGTTTCACTTCTGAAAAAGAGGTTTGTCTTATCCTCTCAGCTCCCTGCGCACTTCTAAGTCTGTTCAACGTCAAACAATACGTGTTCCCGAGTTTCACGAATGGGCTGGATAATGGCGTAATACCTGGGTTGGTAAGTGTCTCTCTCTCTCTCTCTCTCTCTCTCTCTCTCTCTCACACACACACACACACACTCATACATACCACTACAAAGAAATGCTCAAAAACATGCAGACTCGACAAAAATCAAGTGTCTTCTTAGTAAATGTTTTTGTCACAAACGAATATTTTTATACATGTACTCACAAATACTTTTTGAGTCAATCTGACATTGCCTTCTATGTGCAATGTTGTCATTGACCGAGGATTACCTATGAATATTACAAAACTGATGAATCTATTTCAACAGATATAAAGAGCTATTTTAATTTTTAAGGATGTCTCCTACGAAAAAGTCGCCGCAGACAGCGCACTCCGAGTAAAGTGGTTTGGGGTACTAAGAGGCTATCAGGGAAATTACTGCCGCCGGTGGTTCTTTACTTTCAACGGAGTGGAGTGCACCTCTCCCTTTCCACTCGATGGTGCAGTAGGGTTTATGCACGGTCACGACGCGTCCTATCAGTACATGACACGATCAAGTGAGTTTAAATGCGCACGCACTCTATGGCTGAATAGAATAGAAGTTATTGTTCTAGCAGGATCGATCTATCTTAGCGGTTATTCTCGCTTCGGCGCAGTCAATGTCATTAGCTAAATTGTCTGGCACTTCCCCCTCGCAAAGCAACATGAACATCATCATGGATCACAAAGTATTCCCGGCTTAACTCAAATACGAGGCGCGTGGGGCGTATTACGAGGGGCGTGCCAGACTATTAAGGTGTTTACATTGACTGAGCCTTAGCGAGAATCACTGCTAATATAGATCGATCCTGCTAGTAAGATACATCCTACTCTCAACACAGTCTAACACACGTAAATCTGCATATGGACTGATAAACAATTAATTAATATTGTCAGCATTAATAAAAATATAATTAAATTCTAACTTTCACCATTTTCATTTGTATTGAATCGTTTCCGTTAAAGCTCTTCATGTGTTTCAAAAGAATGTTGGATCCAAATAAATGAAATACTCTTTAGTTTTCTTTATAAATATAAAAGCTCATTAACTAAATGTCTCATAAATGTCCAGTGCCTTTAACGACAATTTAGGTTCTTTTAACACATAATGATAAAATGGCCTTTTTCAATGAGCGTTAGCATTGATTAACGTAGAGTGAAATATGACCTTGAAATACTAGTATGAATTCACTCTGAAGGAATTGTTAAATTTAGAACTAAACAGAGATAATTTATCTCATTTTAATTTAATTTATCTAGAGGGCGTAAACAGTAAAATACACGTACACCATTCTCAAACTTGAAATCAGAAAAGTTTTTAATTTGATATTGATTAATTATTGTTTTGTACCAGGTTGGACCAGGTTGGACCAATTGACTTTACTATATATTTATATAAATGTTTTCTTTTAAACTTGCGTATTTTAGTTGAAGGTATTTGCGAGGGTTTGGGGAAAGGACATTACACTATTCAGTTTAATGTTGGAGCTTGTCCCACCGGCTCCTTCTCGAACTATGACGCATACACTGGGTTTTCTAACTCTGTCTCCCGCATTATCGTGGAAGAGGTCCGTTTAGGACGACGGGAAAATCAGGGTTTGTACACGTGTCACATTTGTTGCTGTTAATATAATAACAATGTAAATTGAAAGGTGATAAGTATTTTATAATAAACAACGTAATGTTATAGCAAAACTTAAGCTTTGATAAACACTTGCGCACTGCATCATACCTGTTGGTGCTTTACGTTGGGTTCGAGGTTTGGTAGCCTTCAAATGTCAATCTATTTGTTTGGTATTATTTTCACACTAAAGTAATCATGAAATTCGTTGAGGTGGGTATTTTCAATTCGTAAATGTTTCCATATATTGCAGTGATACTGAACGAAGGGTATAAGCTGACCAACCCTGTGTTCAACGTACATCACTGGAACTGGTATGCCGTGGACAATACCAATAATAACGCAGAGATTAAGGTGCGTTTGCCTTAAAGGTTCTTTTCTGAATCTTTCCTATTGTATTTGCATTTTCCATCGTGGACAACATTCTGGGATTTGATAATGCAGTTAATTTGAAGGGATAAAATCAAGTCTTGTAAAACTTGTTTCTTTTTTAATATTAAACTACATGGAGTAAAGAACTGAAATCTTGTAAAATTTGTTTTTTTTCAGAGATTCTACTACATCAAGATGAGTAGCAGTTCCGTCCTTCGTGTAACCTTCAACGGTGTGATTAGACCTGCAACGTTAGTTGGTGTATTCTTTCCTCTTTTAGGAAGGAAATAAGGACCCACAATTTTGCCTTTTTTGATAAATTACAATTGATAATGTAAATCCCGGTTCCTCGTAAGCTTAGGCACATAATCGAACACATTTAAACCTTCTTTCGAATTGGCTACAGCAAAAATGTCGATACGTTAAGTCAGATGATTAAAGTCTTTTCTCCATTTTTTTCGGGGGGGGGGGGGGGTGCATATCCTTGTGCATATACTTTTTAAAGTCATTATTTCTTGAATTAAGAACATTCATATTGGGTGGTTGCAACAAAATTAAAAAGCATGCTACTCTTAAGTTCTATTGTATGCAGTTAATGCACCACAAATTGTGCTTAGAAAATTATGTACCCGAAAGTTTGAAAATATTGAGTAAGTACCGTTATTCATGTTTTTCTACAGGTCTCGCGGGTACTGTGCACGGTGGTTCTTCAAGTCTAACAATAACTTGTGCTCCGACCCTCAGACAATCGAAGGAGAGTGGCACGAAAACAGTAATCAGTATGCTGAAGTGGACAAAAGAATCCCGACATCAGGTAGATATTGTAGAGAAGGTCGTTAACGAAGATTTGTGACGCACCCGTAACAATACATCGGCACATGAAATTTTAGGAAACTTACGTTCCGCCTGTATTTTGTTGATTATTTTATCTTTTTATCCGCCTATTTAAGTTGTATGCTTTTTGGGTAAGTTTGTCTAAATTTCTGTGCAACGCATATTCACTTAAAATCCAAAATATAGAACTATTTGTGCTGCATTTCTATTACACCACATCTATTCATATCTTTCAGTTAGCGGAATGTGCAAGGGCCTGAGCGCGGGAAACGTGTTGGTCTCCTTCAACATCGGCACGTGTAACGCTGGCACCGGGCGACACAGCACCTATACCGGCTGGATGACCAGGATGACCATCATGGTGGAAGAAGTTCACGCGGAAGCTTAAACATCTTAGGATTTGTTGAACACTTAATGACCAGCGTATTATTTCTTTATTCCTGTACCCCTGACACACGTTTTGTGACATAAAATAAGCTATCATTTTTCTGAGCGATTGACTCCTTCCCACTGTTTGTAGTGTGCACTGGCGTTAATAGTAAATGTGTCAAAGACATGGGATGATAATGCATAAAACTACATACATGTAGGATATATGTTCGTGTGTGGTGAAATACGAGATCTTATGCGTAGACGCACAAAACCCGGTGGGTGGGAATGTCAAAGTAAAAATCAATTAAAAGGTTTATTTGAATAAGATATGTAATTCTTAGATGCAGTTTCTGTTTTCAAGTCCAATATTTTAGTCACATTCATTGCTACTTCTGTTCATCAATCATGACTTCAAATATCTCCACTTCTTGTTGAATATGAGCAAAAACGTTGCCAAAACGAACACGCCAAAACATGACGCAATGGACAGGAACACTGCGTGGTAGCTTCCTGTGACGTCACGGATATGTCCTGTAGAAAAAAAGGAGTAAGAAATTATAATGATACCAGAATATAACGTCGGGATATCATCAAATCTGATTTAGTCATGTACAGAACTGATAATAGTTACGATACTACTGGAGCAGTGGTCAAATATATTTATTTAGTGCTCTTATTATAGGAAAAAATATAAAACAAAAAGTAGTGGTTGTCATATGACGGTGGAAACAAATATCTGTTTTCAATAAATTTTAGTGCAATACTAAGAACAGACTTTTTTCTACTTCCTGTCCTTGAAAATTACACCATGTTATAATGGTCAATACATTAAGTGTTTTCTTGATTTCAATTCAATTCAANACAACGCATACACTGGGTTTTCTAACTCTGTCTCCCGCATTATCGTGGAAGAGGTCCGTTTAGGACGACGGGAAAATCAGGGTTTGTACACGTGTCACATTTGTTGCTGTTAATATAATAACAATGTAAATTGAAAGGTGATAAGTATTTTATAATAAACAACGTAATGTTATAGCAAAACTTAAGCTTTGATAAACACTTGCGCACTACATCATACCTGTTGGTGCTTTACGTTGGGTTCGAGGTTTGGTAGCCTTCAAATGTCAATCTATTTGTTTGGTATTATTTTCACACTAAAGTAATCATGAAATTCGTTGAGGTGGGTATTTTCAATTCGTAAATGTTTCCATATATTACAGTGATACTGAACGAAGGGTATAAGCTGACCAACCCTGTGTTCAACGTACATCACTGGAACTGGTATGCCGTGGACAATACCAATAATAACGCAGAGATTAAGGTGCGTTTGCCTTAAAGGTTCTTTTCTGAATCTTTCCTAATGTATTTGCATTTTCCATCGTGGACAACATTCTGGGATTTGATAATGCAGTTAATTTGAAGGGATAAAATCAAGTCTTGTAAAACTTTTTTCTTTTTTAATATTAAACTACATGGAGTAAAGAACTGAAATCTTGTAAAATTTGTTTTTTTTTTTCAGAGATTCTACTACATCAAGATGAGTAGCAGTTCCGTCCTTCGTGTAACCTTCAACGGTGTGATTAGACCTGCAACGTTAGTTGGTGTATTCTTTCCTCTTTTAGGAAGGAAATAAGGACCCACAATTTTGCCTTTTTTGATAAATTACAATTGATAATGTAAATCCCGGCTCCTCGTAAGCTTAGGCACATAATCGAACACATTTAAACCTTCTTTCGAATTGGCTACAGCAAAAATGTCGATACGTTAAGTCAGATGATTAAAGTCTTTTCTCCATTTTTTTCGGGGGGGGGGGGGGTGCATATCCTTGTGCATATACTTTTTTAAGTCATTATTTCTTGAATTAAGAACATTCATATTGGGTGGTTGCAACAAAATTAAAAAGCATGCTACTCTTAAGTTCTATTGTATGCAGTTAATGCACCACAAATTGTGCTTAGAAAATTATGTACCCGAAAGTTTGAAAATATTGAGTAAGTACCGTTATTCATGTTTTTCTACAGGTCTCGCGGGTACTGTGCACGGTGGTTCTTCAAGTTTAACAATAACTTGTGCTCCGAGCCTCAGACAATCGAAGGAGAGTGGCACGAAAACAGTAATCAGTATGCTGAAGTGGACAAAAGAATCCCGACATCAGGTAGATATTGTAGAGAAGGTCGTTAACGAAGATTTGTGACGCACCCGTACACACACAACGACACATGAAGTTTTTGGAAAACGTACGTCCGAACTGTATTCTGTTGATTAATTTATCTATTTATTCGCCTGTTTTAGTTTAGTATGCTGTTTTGGTAAGTTTGACTAAATTTCTGTGCAACGCATATTCACTTAAAATCCAAAATATAGAACTATTTGTGCTGCATTTCTATTACACCACATGTATTCATATCTTTCAGTAAGCGGAATGTGCAAGGGCCTGAGCGCGGGAAACGTGTTGGTCTCCTTCAACATCGGCACGTGTAACGCTGGCACCGGGCGACACAGCACCTATACCGGCTGGATGACCAGGATGACCATCATGGTGGAAGAAGTTCACGCGGAAGCTTAAACATCTTAGAATTTGTTGAACACTTAATGACCAGCGTATTATTTCTTTATTCCTGTACCCCTGACACACGTTTTGTGACATAAAATAAGCTATCATTTTTCTGAGCGATTGACTCCTTCCCACTGTATGTAGTGTGCAGTGGCGTTAATAGTAAATGTGGCAAAGACACGGGATGATAATGCATGAAACTACATACATACATGTAGGTTATATGTGCGTGTGTGGTGAAATTCGAGATCTTGTGCGTAGACGCACAAAATGTCAAAGTAAAAATCAATTTAAAGGTTTATTTGAATAAGACTTGTAATTCATAGATGCAGTTTCTGTTTTCAAGTCCAACATTTTAGTCACATTCATTGCTGCTGCCGTTCATCAATCATGACTTCAAATATCTCCACTTCTTGTTGAATATGAGCAAAAACGTTGCCAAAACGAACACGCCAAAACATGACGCAATGGACAGGAACACTGCGTGGTAGCTTCCTGTGACGTCACGGATATGTCCTGTAGAAAAAAAAGGAGTAAGAAATAAAAATGATACCAGAATATAATGTCGGGATATCATCAAATTTGATTTAGTCAGAACAGAACTGATAATAGTTACGATACTACTGGTGCAGTGGTCATATATATTTATTTAGAGTTCTTATCATAGGAAAAGAATTTGAACAGAAAGTAGTGGTCATCATAGGACGGCGGAAACAAATATCTGTTTCCAATAAATTTCAGTGCAATGCCAAGAACATTTTTTACTTCATGTTATAATGGTCAATATATTAAGCGTTTTCTTGATGTATTTAGTGTATTTTATGGGGTCTAACACAGCAGCTATTATTTACCATATTGCAGTACAATAAATCAATTATTACCACATTGGTAAAATTAAGTAAGTTAGGTATAAATTATTTAATTATTTTTATTGCGGTGAAAAATAGCAAAATGAATATGTATAGAAAATGCACCGTGCAGGAACAGTAAGAACTAAAATTACCTGCCAAGTAGGGTCCCACGGTAGCTCCGACTCCTTTGCTCAAACGCATTGTCAAGAATAACGTATAGATATTCTCTCCGTCCATGATTTCATTGTTGACAGCATAATACCCGGCAAGGTATGGGCCAAGAAAAAACCCCGAGACTACAACATTGGTTAATACTTTGATAAGAATAACTGCCATATCAAAAATTGAATTTTAACTGAGTCTCGTATTATCTTAACAAGGGAAGTCATGCAATGTGCACTACCGACTGGTTTCTGACTGACATATTGAAATACATACTTATGTCAGCAATGTTTTGCTTGCTTGTGCCTTATAAGAAGATATAAAGAAGACTTTTTTAAAATCCCATCTTTAAAAATACATATTTCGATGCATATGTAATACTAAAGCTAATTATGGAGGCCGAACATCAAGTGTAAAAACGTACCCACCAGCACAATATACATAAACAGCAGTCAAAGATGTCGAATATGCTGCTATAATATTATTCACAGTGAGCACCGTAGCCGCCACAAGGTTCACCACCATAATATATCCCTTCACATAATCCCCAACCAATGAGGCAAACGCCTGTCCAATCGCACCTACGGTCCCAAATACTGATATAACTTTCACTGCGTCGGCTTCCTTATAACCAAGGTCTATCAAATGTTTTGGCTGAAGAAAATAAACCATTACGAAAGAAGTGATATGTATAACAAAAAATGCAACTGAAATAAAGTTAAAACACTGTATGGTGTCATCTAATTTTGACTTTACAAGAAAAAAATATCTTACTATTCGAGAAGTAAAAAACTTTTACTTCATATACTTTACTCGACAATAATAACTTTCATATTAACAATATGTTATTGTGAGTGTTTGAACCTTTGCGTCTTCCTTTGACATCCAGCTTTCTTTAATTGTCAAACAATTGAAAAATTGCGCAAAATACATATAACATATTAATCTGCTGTTATCTGCTTGGTGGGAAGTACGAACTACATGTATTTTTATCTTCTGCTCTCGACTGATCACTATTTAACTTTTTGTTAGTCACCAATCTCCCAAAATTTAATGTTCTTTATTTCACGTACGTTACAGTTCATGCGACAAAACCAGTTAAACATGGCACACCAGTTTCGAAAACCGTTGGAAAAATAACTGAGTTTTAAATTAGAGCGTTTTCGATTCATACCTTTCATATTTTGAGACACTTCCCTGGTTAGAATAAATTGGTGCATCGTTGTTGTGTCGCTGTTTGATTTTAATTAATTACACGTCTTTGCATGCTATAGTAATGATATAACATGATCGGTGCATATGCAAATTAGAATATGCGACCAAAACTACTTTAAGATGCTTAACATACAATAGTAATTTTGTATACTTACTAATATAACCATTGGTATGAAATAAGCAATTCCTTTACAGCACATTGCTATTGACCAAATTCCATGAGTAACGACTTTAGAACGCACAGACCATGGCGGTTTCTGAATATTCGGTGACCTGAAAGACCGTTATTTGTATTTAAAATGCAACAACAGCTATCATTTTCGTATCCTTATATACCACACATGATCTCTTCATGGTCAACAAGTTCATATTCTCAAAATATGGAAACTGTATTGGAATATTTTTGTTTTTAACCAAGGCCCCTTTTACACCCACCTGACCTTTGTGCCCCCTTTCTGCTAATTTAAATGTGCAACCAGGACGATCAATGGAGGTGACGAAAATCGCACAATGTTTTTGTAACTTTTAAAGTGCTGTTTATGAGACCTTGAAGAGACATTAAAGTAAATAATGTTGCACTTGCATTTCCTGGAATATGGAAGCAAAGGCTGTGGCCGCATTCAAAACAGTGGACTAACTAGTCCGAGGGTCAAATATGGCGACCCACCAAAAAGCTGGCCGTCTATTCCGCTAATAGACACTGAATAGATCCCCCTTGGGGAAGTATTCAAGTGGGTCGGTCACATTTGACCCGCAGACTAGTTAGTCCACTGTTCTGAATGCAGCATATGACTTGATTACTAACATCAAGATAAACCTACTTTTCATTTGGCATAGCTTCTTGCTGTTCGGACGACACTATTGGGGGATTGCCGAATACCGCAAGAAGAAGTGAACCCATAGAGCTAAAAACGGCAGCAAAAAGTCGAAATGCCCAGCGCCATCCTAGTGAGGGGTCGGCGCACATGTTAGCAACGACAGCATTTACTACTGTTATACCTTAAATTACAATTAAGAACAAGTGCAACATAAAATCATCAAAGGTAAATCTGAAAATAAAATGATTTAAATGACGAGTTAAAGGACTATTTGAATACACGTTTAGGATTAAAATGTACAGAGAGGGAGATGCTTAAGCTGCAGCATTTTCTTTTGTGGTTATGTCACCATACTTACCAAGGGGATCCATTGCAGACAACACACTCGTTGAGAAAACATGAAACCGGTGAGACCATGGAAACCAAAGTGCTATCACTATATACGTGCAAACTGTTAAAACTCCAATGCCACTTCCCGAAAGAATACCAAAAGATACAGCCACAAATTGGGGGCTATCGGCAAAAGACGTCAGAAACAGTCCCAGCACCATAAGGGATACTCCAAGAGCTGTAAATTGCCGAAGGCTCAACTGTCCATATTTAAACAGTGCCATGTAGATAAGGTTACTGAGGGATAATTTAAACGCTAGGAACACTGATAGCGGGGCCCCTGTAAAATAATAAAACATAATGTGTACAACAGTACGACATAATACATACGCTAAACAGCAGCTCAGATTTACATGTATATTAGCATTTAATTATTTCGTTACCTTACGTTAGTCTCGGCAGCTGTGATGGGGCCCTCCTCCATTCCTGGTACCTGTCCTATCTAAGATAATCAACGGATTTTTACGGTCTTGCTCTAATAACGTTAACTCCTATTATGAAACCATTGAGGTTAAAAAAATATAATGTAAGCAACATCAATGTGGGTAGCGAGTACTGTATATTCGATAACAAAGAACAGAGCGATGCTTGATGGATATTGGAGCTGCCATTTACGAAGATTGCATTTTTCTTTTTGTGTAGTTAGCGTTATGAATTGTGCACAAATTACATACGGTGACGTAACCATCATATAATTTGGAAAGGGTCTTTGGAGACTCCTCAGTAATTTGCTACTTATAACCAGCCACTTAGATTTAGTAGGAATCATTATAACTAGCAGATACGCCCAACGACATTGATAATATACATTAATTAGATCAGAGAGAGAGAGAGAGACTTTAACAAAGATACTAAAGGTGTATATTGTGATTTGATGAACGCAAAGATGAACCCTTACCTAGCAATGCGAGAGTCGACTGTGGAAAATCTTCATCCTGCTGAAAACACAAAATTGTTGTCCCCCACGCACCTTCAATTCCCTTTTGAGTCATAAATAGAAGAACAGCAATCCCCAGCACAACCCAGCCTCTGTAGATACCAGGGGATATCATTACCGGGCGCTGAGGTGTCTGCTATGATGTTATATTTCCGAAGTAAGTACACAGATACAGCCAGTTATGTATTGGTGAATGTAAATAAAATCTTTTGTCCATGAACTGAGCATCAACCCACGAAGACAGCCTGCACCTTAAAGTATTGACCGCTGCATTTTTTCCTACATGTAGACATGGGCGTCTGATCGCTTGAATATCAACGGTTTTCTTTCAGTCTTTCAGCTAGAAAATACTTAGTGAACTTATAAGATGAAAACTATTGCCTAATCTAAATAAATGCTTCTGGCAAGAGAGGGCTCAAAACCAGTTTTAGTGTAAAGTAGAACCCCTCAAAACCAGTTTTAGGGTGAGGTAGAACTACAGTGTATTGCGACAAAAGGTTATCCGACACTGCTTTAATGGATCCACTCATGTATTCCTCTGTTTGTTTTTTTTTTCTTTTTTTTTTTTTTTTTTTTTTGGAAATGGGTCATAAAGTACGTAAAATAACTTGACAAATAAAACACACCAAGTGTGACTGAAATGTGACATGCCATACAGGTACAAAATATATCTGTGTATAAACAGAGCCGAGGTTAGTGTAACCCATTTAAAGCTGAGTGAAAGATACATTTGATAACAAAGAAAGAGCATTATAGTTGATCTCACCTTAAAGCTGTAGGGTCATCTACAAAGTTCACGCATTTCTCCGTTATATTCAGCAACACTTTTCACCCTATTGACACTGTACACTTAATTCATACATGATAACGCCACAAGAAAAGGGTGGCACAGGGTCTTCTGTGCCATAGCTCTTTATAACTGTCCATTTAGATCTAATAACGTTCAGTAAAACTAGCTTAGATGCATGGGTGCCCATGACTCACCTATTTAAAGGGATAACAACTCTTCGTATGAGATCTATATTTCACAATAAAAGCATTGTGAATAACTCATAGAAATAGAATACTCTATATTCTGTTTTACCACAAAAACGGCAGTTATAGCTATTATTCTGAGCGCGGGAAACGTGTTGGTCACTCTCAACATTGGTCAGTGTAATTCTGGCCATGGGCTTCACAGCACCTAAACCGGCTGGATGACCAGGATGACCATCATAGTGGAGAAAGTTCACGCCGAATGTGGCTATCTTGGGATATGCTGAACACTTACTGACCAACGGATTATTTCTTTATTCTTATACCCCTGACACACGTTTTGTGACATGAAATAAGCTATCATTTTTCTGAGCAAATTGGCTCCTTCCCACTGTATGTAGTGTGCACTGACGTTAACAGTATATGTGGCAAAGATATGGAATGGCAATGCATAAAACTACATACATATAGGTTATATGTTCGTGTGTGGTGATACGAGATCTTATGTGTAGACGCACAAAACCCGGTGGTTGGGAATGTCAAAGTGAAAATCAAATTAAATGTCTATTTGGATAAGACCTGTAATACATAGATGCATTTTCTGTTTTCAAGTCCAACATTTTAGTCACATTCATTGCTATCGTTCATCAATCAAGACTTCAAATATCTCCACTTCTTGTTGCATATGAGTAAAAACGTTGCCAAAATAAACATGCCAAAACATGACGCAATGGACAGGAACACTGCCTGGTAGCTGCCTGTGACGTCACGGATATGTCCTGTAGAAAAAAACGCAGGAGTATAAGAACTAAAAATGCCATACAATACAACGCCGGGATATCATCACATTTGATTTCGTCATATATACAGAGCTGATAATCGTTACGATTCTACTGGGGCAGTGGTCATATATATTTATTTAGTGTTACTGTAAGAAAAAAAGATAAAGTATTGGTTGTCATATGATGGTGGAAACAAATATCTGTTTTCAATATATTTAATGCAATACTAAGAACAGTCATGTTTTTACTTCTTGTCCTTGAAAATTACACCAAATGTAATGGTCAATATATTAAGTGTTTTCTTGATATATTTTATGGAGTCTAGCACAACAACAATTATTTCCCATGCAATAAAAATTATTACAAAGGTAAATCATTTATTACCACATTGGTAAATGAATAAATTAAGTAAAATTATTTAATTATTTTCATTGCGGTGGAAAATAACAAAATGGAGATGGATAGAAAATGCACCGTGCAGGAAAAGTAAGAACTAAAACTACCTGCCAAGTAGGGTCCCACGGTAGCTCCGACTCCTTTGCTCAAACGCATTGTCAAGAATAACGTATAGATATTCTCTCCGTCCATGATTTCATTGTTGACAGCATAATACCCGGCAAGGTATGGACCAAGAAAAAACCCCGAGACTACAACATTGGTTAATGCTTTAATAAGAATAACTGCCACACCTATAATTTGGTTTTTAACTGAACTTCAAATTATCTTAACAAGGGTAGTCATGCAATGTGCATTTCCGACTTGTTTCTGACTTACATATTGAAATATATACTTATGTCAACAATGTTTTCTTTGTTTGTGTCTTATAAGAAGATATGAAGAAGATTTTTTAAAAATCGCATCTTTGAAAATACATATTTCGATGTTATATATATATATATATATATATATATATATATATATATATATATATATAAAGCTTATCATGGAGGACGAACATCAAATGTAAAACGTACCCACCAGCACAATATACATAAACAGCAGTCAAAGATGTCGAATATGCTGCAATAATATTATTCACAGTGAGCATCGTAGCCGCCACAAGGTTCGCCACCATAATATATCCCTTCACATAATCCCCAACCAATGAGGCAAACGCCTGTCCAATCGCACCTACGGTCCCAAATACTGATATAACTTTCACTGCGTCGACTTCCTTATAACCAAGGTCTATCAAGTGTTTTGGCTGAAGAAAATAAGTCAGTACAAAAAAGTGATATGTATAACAAAAATGCAACTGAAATAAAGTTAAAAAACCGTATGGTGTCATCTAATTTTGACTTCACAAAATACAGTAATATTGAGAAATATTAAAATTTTACTTCATACACTTTATTCGACTATAATAACTTTTATATTTACAGTCTGTTATTGTAAGTGTTTGAACTTTTGCGTCTTCGTTTAACATCCAGCTTTCTTTTCTTGTTAAACAATTGAAAAGCTGTGCAAAATACTAACATATAACATATTAATCTGCTGTTATCTGCTTGGTGGGAAGCATGAATTACTCTTTATTTTCTGCTCTCGTCTGATCACTACTTAACTTTTTATTAGTCACCAACCTTCCAAACTTCAGTGCTCTTTATTTCACGTACGTTACAGTTCATGTGACAAAACAAGTTAAAACATGGCACATCAGTTTCGAAAACGGTTGGATAAATAATTGAGTTTAAAATTAGAGCGTTTTTGATTCAAACCTTCCATATTTTGATACACTTCCCTGGTAAGAATAAATTGGTGCATTGTTGTTGCATTGGTGCATTGTTGTTGCTATTTGATTTTAAATCATTTCACGTCTTTATGAGCTACAGTAATGATATAGCATGACCGGTACATATACACATTATTATATGCGACCAAAACTACTTAAAGATGCTTAATATACTAAAGTAATTTTGTATACTTACTAATATAACCATTGGTAAGAAATAAGCAAATCCTTTACAGCATATTGCTATTGCCCAGATTCCATGAATAACGACTTTAGAACGCACAGACCATGGCGGTTTCTGAATATTCGGTGACCTGAAAGACCTGAAAGAAAATGCAACAACATATTTCATTTTCGTATCCTTATATACCACACATGATCTCTTCATGGTTAAAATGTTTATATTCTCAAAATATGGAAACTGCATTGGAAAGTTTTCGCTTTTAACTAAGGCCTCCTTTACACCTACCTGTGACCTTTGTGTCCCCTTTCTGCGACTTTAAATGTGCAACCAGGTCTAACGCATTCAAATCAGTGGACTAACTAGTCCTAGAGCCAAATATGGCGACCCACCTAAAAGCTAACAGACACTAACTTTTGGGAAGTATTCAAGTGGGTCGGTCACATTTGACCCGCAGACTACTTGGTCCACTGTTCTGAATGCAGCATATGACTTGATAACTAACATCAAGATAAACCTACTTTTCATTTGGCATAGCTTCTTGCTGTTCGGACGACACTATTGGGGGATTGCCGAATACCGCAAGAAGAAGTGAACCCATGGAGCCAAAAACCGCAGCACAAAGTCGAAATGCCCAGCGCCATCCTAGTGAGGGGTCGGCGCACATGTTAGCAACGACAACATTTACTACCGTTATACCTAAAATTACAATTAAGAACAAGTGCAACATAAAATCATCAAAGGTTAATCTGAAATTAAAATGATTTAAATAACGAGTTAAACGACAATTTGATTACACGTTTAGGATTTAAATGTACAGAGAGGGAGTTGCTTAAGCCGCAACATTTTATTTTGTGGCTATGTCACCATACTTACCAAGGGGATCCATTGCAGACAACACACTCGTTGAGAAAACATGAAACCGGTGAGACCATGGAAACCAAAGTGCTATCACTATATACGTGCAAACTATTAAAACTCCAGTGCCACTTCCCGAAAGAATACCAAAAGATGCAGCCACAAACTGTGGACTGTCGGCAAAAGACGTCAGAAACAGTCCCAGCACCATAAGGGATACTCCAAGAGCTGTAAATTGCCGAAGACTCAACTGTCCATATTTAAACAGTGCCATGTAGATAAGGTTACTGAGAGAGACTTTGAACGCTAGGAACACTGAGAGCGGGGTCCCTGTAAAATAATAAAAATAATAATGTGTATCTGTGTTTAACACCCATTCAGCCAACAACAGTATTTCGTTATTTTACGTTAGTCTGGGCAGCTATGCTGGGGCCCTCCTCCATATCCTGTACAGTACCTGTCTTATCTAAGATAATCGACGGATTTTTATGGTTTTCCTCTTATAACGTTAACCCTTTTAATGAAACCATTGAGGTTTAAAAATATAATGTAAGTAGTGAGTATATTCGATAACAAAGAACAGAGCGATGGTTGATGGGATTTGTAGCTGCCATTTACGAAGATTGCGCTTTTCTTCTGTGTAGTTAGCCACGTCATCTTTGTAATGGATTGTGCACAAAATATATATGATGACGTAACCGTCATATAGTTTGGAAATTACTCAGTAATTTGCTACTATAACCAGCCACTTAGATCTAGTAGCAATCATTATAACTAGCAGATCATTGTGCCAGATACATGTATGTAAAATCTGTATATATCAGCAGGGTACTTGGCTTTACAAAGATAACTTCCGAACCCCTCTTGCCAGTTTCAGCTGAGGAAAAACGAAGTGGCCAGATAGATTAAGACTATCTCGCCGTATCTAGCCATTTTTTTTTTTTTTTTTTTTTTTTTTTTGCGTTCAAATTACGACGGCCTTTAACAAAGATACTACAGGTGTATATTGTAATTTGATGAAAGCAAAGATAAAGCCTTACCTAGCAATGCGAGAGTCGACTGTGGAAAATCTTCATCCTGTTGAAAACACAAAATGGTTGTCCCCCACGACACCTCAATTCCCTTTTGAGTCATAAATAGAAGGGTTGCAATCCCCAGCACAACCCAACCTCTGTAGATACATGGAGATACCATCGCCGTGCGTCTTGATAGTTAAAACCAAAGGGCGGGTGCTAAGGTGACTGTTATGATGCTATAATTCCGAAATTATTGCACGAATGCAGCCAGTTACGTATAAGTGAATGAAAAATAAAATCATAAGTCCCTGATTTGAGCATCAACCCACCTAGACAGCCTGTACCTTGACATAACTAATCACTGCATCTTCACCTGTGCAAGCGCGTCTGATCGCTTCAATATCAACATTTTGTTTATGCTACAAAATACTTAGTGAACTTATAATATGAAAACTATCGCCTAATCTGAATAAATGCTTCTGGCAAGAGGAGGGCTCATAACCAGTTTTAGTGTAAAGTACATGTAGAACCCCTCAAAACCAGTTTTAGGGTGAGGTAGAACTACAGTGTATCACGACAAAAGGTTATCTGACACTGCTTTGATGGATCCATGGATTCATCAGTGCACTCATGTGTTCCTCTGTTTTTTTGTAAGTGGGTCATACGTAGAATAACTTGACAAATAAAACACATCGAGTGTGACTGAGATGTGACATGCCATACAGGTACAAAAATTTGTGTGTATTAACAGACGCCGAGGTTAGTGTAAGTCATTTAAAGCTGGGTAACGAGTACATTTGATAACAAAGAAAGAGCAAAATAGCTGAACTCAGCTTAAAGGTGTATGATCATCTACAAAGTTCACACATTTCTTCCTTATATTCAGCAACACTATTCACCCCATTTACACTGTACACTTCATACATGACAGAGCCACCAGAAAATGATAAGGGTGGCACAAGGTCTTCAGTACGTGACATATAGCTCTTTATTACTGGTCACTTAAATCTAGTAACGTTCAATAAAACTAGCTTAGATGCATGGGCGCCCATGACTTACTTAAGGTAATTTTATAATATAATAACATAAGGCCGCATTCACATCTACTTGAGCCATGGTTCTACAAAGCCACGACCTAAATATGGCGGACGTACATGAAAGGAAAACCGCCTAATCTTTTAATAGTCTCCCCGCCTCTCACACGCCCCCACCCCCATGCGTCGTCCCTGTGGGGGTACAGTCATTAAATCTCGGCTCCATTGGGAAGACACATGGGGAGGCGTGTGAGAGGAGGGGAGACTATTATTTCTTTATTTGAACAGTGCCTTCTTAATCATCCTGCATTCCAAGCAATAACCTTAATATTTTCACTATTTACATTTTCATGTATGTTTGTACTCTTTGCCCGGCCACTCCCCTAGTCCATATTCACTTGTGTCTCCCGTCGCCTGGAATGGTAACCACCAACCAACACTGGGACATTTTTTTCTTTGTCGAATGTGTATGTTTGGCCGTCGACAACTAGTACGTCGTACTTGAAATATGGGCTTTTATCCTTCTCCATACACTCTTTGAAAAAAGGTTGCAGATCGCAACGCAATTTTGAGACTCCTTCCGGTAAATCTTGGCTGATGCGGAAGGGGAGATTTTGATCATTACGTTTTGATTGAAATGCAGACAAAATCCCATCCTTTATTCTCAGGCTACTGCAACTTATCAAGACGGGTCTCGGCTTCGTTCTACAAGGGAGACGAAATACACTTTCGAAGCGCAAGTCTTCGTCTGTAAGCTTTATATGCTCCTTAAATTTATCTATGACCTTGGAGCACGTTGTTGTGGAATTATCAGCTTCATCCTCTGCAATGTTAAATACTTTTAAATTCTTTAATTTACTATGCTTTTCAATGCGCTCCTGTTTTTTTTTTTATTGTGTCTGCTAATTTTCCTTCAACTTTTTATAATTTTGCGTTCAATGCTGTCATACTTTCAGTTAGTATCGCATTTTCTTCTTTGAGCTTTTTATTTTCGTCTTTTAATTCAAGCACAGACTTTTCAAGATGGTCGATTTTTTGTTCATGGATTTGACATCTCTACTTATTTCGAGTAAAAGCCCTTTTGTGTCCGTGTCAGAGTTTTCCTCATCCGAACCCTTAGAACCATCCGTATTTCCACTAACTGAGATCAATGAATGACTCCCACGTCCACTGCCCCGTTTGGATGCTTCACCTCGTGATTTTCTACCTGTCATATCAAATGCAACTCAGGGTGTGTTGTCAAGGTCACTTAGCTGGGCCACTGAATGTATCTACTATTATGTAATCCACACACAACCACTATTGACGTAATGCAAGGTGTGAGTAGTAGTCACTCTTACAAAATATGTTTTATTCACTCACATTTCTAATCATTTTGCCATAGTTCAACTTTTCAGTATACCATTTCCATCGACATTGGGATCTCGGAAAGTTCTCATTTCTTCTGATACCACTTTTGTCCACTTTTAGTTACATCTCATGCTGTAAATTTACAATATAACGCAGCACCCGAATGTTCATTCCTGCCCAACCCAGTAGTCAGATAATTTCACTTCAAAGAGTATTTAAGACATATCAGAGACAGGGTTTGTTTGGATCTCTGTAGATGACATATAAAAGAGACAAACGATGTTTTCCATCAAAATCCCTATACATGTACACATGTATGCCGTCAAGGTAACTTGAAAATGTTTGGCCTGGGTTTCAAAATGTCTCATTCGAAGTTGTATGCCGCCTGTATTATTAAAAGCAAATACAAATCCTGGACGACACATCAGTAAAGCACGGGTGCTGCAAGATACGCTGTAATAGCAAGGTGCCTCCGTATCAATTGACCTTCATATTCCCCAGATCTCAGCATGACAGAACTTGCTTAGATCTTGATTGGAAAAGTGCGAGAAATAACTTCCAGTGCAAAACCTTAAACTGCTCCACACTAAAATCTGCCTGAGCTACAACGTTGTTTGGAATATCTCAGTAGATTAATACGAGATCTTGTGTGTAGACACATTGTACGGATGAAATATCAACGTCATCAAGGTCAATCCACATTGTCATTTGAAAACATTGTGATGGTGCATGGTGGACGCAGGCTATTTTTTTTTCAAATTTTCAGTTGAACGAATTTCTGTTCTTTATCACTTCAAAACTTCTCAAATCCCTGCACTTATTGATGAATATGAGCAAAGATGTTGCAAAAACGAACGCGCCAAAACAAAAGGCAATGCTCAGGAACACTGCGAAGTAACTGTCTGTGACGTCACGGATATATCCTGAAGAACCCAAAGTGTGGGTATAAGAGGTCAATATTTCAATGCTAGTAATGAAAGGTTACGACGGGTTTTTGCTTTATGGATGAATTAAATTTGATGTATTTGATACCACAAACAAAACAGAGATATTTACATTCTGTTATAATTAGTATCATACTCTTACATTGTAGTATGACATAATTGTATGGCTTGGATAAAGAGAGGATGAAACAAACCAAAACGTCTCCACAGTCGAACAATTATAGTCATATATACTCAAACTGTCAAACAAACCTTTTAATTACCATAATTGCAATGGACATAGATCCTGAGAGGAAGAAGTATCCTAGAGGATTAATGTTTTTTTTTTTTCTAACATGACAGGAATAGCCTGTCGAACTAAAACTTACCTGCCAAGTATGGCCCCACAGTTCCTCCAACACCCTTACCTAAACGCATTGTCATGAATAACGTATGGATATTCTCTCCGTCCATGATTTCATGGTTCACAGCATAATACCCGGCATTGTATGGACCAATAAAAAAACCCGACACTAAAAAACGTGGTTAAAGATTTTTAATTGATTCTAATATTTCCCCAACAGCGGTATATGAAACATTACGACTGGATTTTGACTACGTATTCTAAATGCATATGCGTGTCAACAATGTTTTGCTCTAATATTATCTTATAAAGAGATTTTTTTTATTACATCATCTTTAAAAATTCATATATCGATGCATATTTAATATATAATATTAATATATATAATATATATTATATATATGCATATTATATATATAAGCTAATTTAGGAGGTCAAAAATCAAATGTAAAAACGTACCTACCAGCACTATATACATATACAGCAGTCAAAGATGTCGAATATGCTGCAATAATATTATTCACAGTGAGCACCGTAGCCGCCACAAGGTTCGCCACCATAATATTTCCCTTCACATGGTCTCCAACCAATGAGGCGAATGCCTGTCCAATTGCACCTACGGTCCCAAATACTGTTATAACGTTAACCGTGTCGACTTCCTTATAACCAAGGTCTAACAAATGTTTTGGCTGAAGAAAATAATCCAGTTCAAACAAAATAACTGATATGCATAAAAAATGCGACAAAAATAAAATTAAAACACAAACTGCAATGCTAATTATTTCCTGCGTCACGTACGTTACATGTACATTTCATGTGAGAAAACAGAGTTAAAACATGACACATCATGCAGCTTTGAAAGCCTATTGAAAAAATAAAGATTATAATTAGAGTTTCGATTCATAACTTTCCTTTTTTGAGACACCTATTTAGCAATAAGAGTTGGCAAATTGCTGTAATGATGGTATTTGACTTTAAATCATGACACGTCTTTGCATGCTATGGTATTGATATTAAATTGTCGGTGCATATACTTATAAGCATATGTTGTCACATTGCAAAGCTACTCGAAGATGCCAAACATACAATAGTAATTTTGTATACTTACTAATATAACCACTGGTAAGAAATAAGAAAATCCTTTACAGCACATTGCCATTGCCCAGATTCCATGAATTACGACTTTAGAACGCATAGACCATGGCGGTTTCTGAATAATCGGTGAGCTGAAAGACGGTTATTTTGTATTTTAAAATGCAATGTCAGATTTTATTATTGTACAGTGTATTCTTATATAACACTATCAATCAAACTTTTATATTTTCAAAATATGGAAACTACTGTGACCTTTGAGTCCCCAGGACGTTCAATGGTGGCGAAGAAAACTGCACGTTTTGTGAAACTTTTAAAATGTTGTTTATGAGACCTTGTAGAGACATTGAAGTAATCACGTTGCATTTTTGATGGATAAAATTTTATATCTTGGACTATAACGACAAAAAAGCTATGAGTCTGATTGCAAACATCAAAATAAACCTACTTTTCATTTGGCATATCTTCTTGCTGTTTGGACGATGCGATTGGGGGATTGCCGAATACCACAAGAAGAAGGAAACCAATAGAACCTTGAACGGCAGCAAAAAGTCTAAATGTCCATCGCCATCCTGGGGAGTGTTCGGCGCACATTTTAGCATCGACAGCATTGAAAACTGTTAGACCTAAAGTTACAGTTAAGAACATGTGCAACATAAAATCATCAAAATTTTAGAAAATGATAAATGAAAGATCATTTGAATTAAAATTTAGGATTCAATGAGAACAGCTAAGGGGTAAAAGCTTTTTGAAATATCCGTGTCGCCTTTACAAATGT